GTATATCTTAACCCATACTTTATACTCTTTACCCAAAATGCGAAAGAAAAAATATTTAATTTTTTTCCACATTTTTGAATACTTATGCATTCAGCAAGGTATGTTGGAGATGGGCCCAAATATTCCATGAAATTCATTTATCTTCACTGATTTTATTCAATATTTTCCTTAATTTTCTGCACAAAGCAAAGTTCTCTTTTTGCTAAAGATTTATTTTATTACTTTTACATTTCCTTTCTCCTTTGCCTCTGTGTATGACCCGTACGTAGACACCATGAAATCTCTGGGTGCTGGGACTTGAGCTCTTGTCATTTGAGGTACAAAGCTGAGCCTTTAATCTGAACTGCCTCCATTGTGGTCTACAATGTACTATTTGTACCATCATGTCAGCCTTCAAAACTTCACCTTTTGGAGCATTTCAGATTAGGGGTACTGGAGGGTGGCTAGCAGTCTTCACCCTGTGTGAGCTCTGGCATCACTTCAGAGTTTACATAGCCTCATCACATATAATTGCATTTAGTTCTATTTGTGAACTACTTTATATATGTATTCTGTCATCTTCCATATTGTGATGGAGAAAACTGATTCCTAAATCTCTGTCTTTTGACATGATGCTTAAATCAAGCATGACCTTGGGGCATGCTTCCAGAGGTCAGGCCTCAGTGGCCCTCAGGGTTTTGATCATGCCTAGGTGCTGCTATCCATTTCAGCTTACTAACCAGACCCTCAGAGCAGCATCCGGCAGTAGTCACCTTCACAGCAGCACACTCACAGCCCTTAACCTTCTATCTTGTTAAAATTCTGATGTTCTATGGCCATAGTATTTCTGCAGCATGCTAAACCGTTGCATTTAGCTTCACACTATCAGCCTTTGGCTCTAGGAACTGGCCATGCTACCAGCCCCCTCCCAGCTTCCCTTGAATCCACAGATAAGAGACACAGACACATAGTTGTTCCTTTTCAACTCACCTTCTTGGCACAATTGCTGGGTGCTACTATCTCCCACCTGGAAAATCTGCCCTTATCAATACTCTTAGCTCTGTACCTCCCTCCAGCCCTAAACTTCAGTGGCTAGTCCCATCTAGCCCCTGCCAAACATCCCTGACCACCAGCCTATAGTAGTGGCCACAGGCCCCAACTCCTCCCAAGATCTCACATGGTTGCCTGGTTCTCCTCTCTCCAAAGCATGGGGAGCTCCTTCTTTCCTTCCTTGAATCCCCTTTTCCTCCAGGGGAAGTCCGCCTGTACCTTCCACCTAGCATTGGCCCATGGCTTTCTTTACTAACAGATAAAGAACCAACTGGGGAACAGGACCTACAACATCAGAAACGCCCACTACACTAAACTACCTGGAGAATGAAGTCAATTTGAGGGGTCTCTTTTCTCTATAAACACGTTCAGCTCTCTAGATCTCCATTTCACATTTCTATATAAACACAGACTGTTTTTTTCAAGTCCAAAAAGAGCAACCAATGAGATCTGAGAGTCTCTTAAACAATCAGTACACTAAGAATCTTACAGAGGAGTCTGCCATGTACCTGACACTTCACTTCATCCCAAGAATGTGAAGAACACTTGCAACTTGCACTCTACAATAATTTGGGGGTGTGTGTGCAGATTTTGCACATTCTAGGTCAGGACCACATGGCACATTGTTGAACAAATCTGTGGATTCACATGCAACATTTTTTGAGATGACTTGACTAAAGGAGGTGACGGGTTGACTATTCTCTAACCAAAATGCTGATTAGACCAGCAGTGATTTGTATTGAGATATTTCTTGAACCTTGGTATTTACATAAATACAATGTAGATGTTTTGTGTGTTTGTGTGTAGTAAATGTATAATATATAATAATGTATTATCTATATTATATGGGGATGAGTACAAAATCTGAGTGTGAAATTAATTGATATTTCACTAACATCTTGTGCATGTGACCTCAAAGTAATCATGTACATTTTTAGTGTGCTTTTTGTTTATCTGCTTGCTTACTTTCTTGCTTGCTTGGGATTTTTGGTTTGTTTGCTTGTTTTTTTTTTAAACTACAAGATCAAGTGTGGAAATGTTTGCCTAACACACCATGTCAGTGCTCAAAAATGTTTGGATTTTGGAGCATTTTAAAACTGAATTATTTGGATTAGGGATGGCCAGTCTAGACAAACAGGAGCAAATGAGGGTGGTTATCACAACATGGTGGGTTGTGTGTTGGTGTAGTACAGTTGCATCTTCTCTGTTGTGATGGAAAATCCCATTTTCACCCTGAGCCACGATTAGTAGTTTGAGAGATGCAGCATGGGGTTGCTTTGGATTGTTTTCTGCACTGGGTGCAAAACAATAGTTACAAGTTTTCGTTTTCTGTGGCTTAGCCATTTATTTTTTATTTTTTTTTATTTTTTTGGCTTTGGTTTTGTTTGCTTGCTTTGGTTCAAAGAACTTAGTTACTGCAGCATGTCCTTCTACTATTCCTCTTTTTCAAGGAGTCTACCATCTTGTCAGATGATTATTTTCCTGCCAGCTAAGGCCAGTGTAATAAGCTCTCTGAGCCTCCCTGAAGAGACCAGCTCTCTGGCTCCAGTCTTGAGAGCCTGGCTTGGCATCCTTTCTTAACCTAAATAAAGGAGACTTTATCCAACTTTTATGTGGGTTTCTTGTGTTAGTAATGGGGGTGGAGGGGGCGAGTAGTTGGAACCAATGTTAAGTATTACAGTTTCTATTTTTAAACGTCTATGTTTTCTTTAGAGGTAGTGGCTTCTAGCTCCCAAAAATATTTTGTGAAATTCCAGTAAGTTCATCCTGAGGTGTTATGGTGACTTATGCATCTGTGGTGCCTTATGTAGCAAGAGTTCTCAGATATTTAGTTGTTGTTGTTTTTGTTTTGTTTTGTTTTATGATAAAAAACCATGAGAGGAACTAGTACATATCAGAAAGCCTACTTTCTACTCCTAGCTCCATGCTCAGTTTTAATTTTTCAAGTTATTCCTCCAAGACTTCACAAAAATTTATTTTTTAAAAATCAAAACCAAAAAAAAAAAAAACAAACAAAGCTAAATCTTCCCACTGTGATGGAAACGACATGCAATTCTTATAAGTTTTCTTCCACTTTATGCTTGAATTCCAATTGAGGCCAATCTAGATAGAGCCTAGATTTGGACAGATTAAGCCTCTGTGAGAAGGGTCCAGTAAGAATTGTGTTTTGCGCATATATGTGCATATGCAAGTATATGCATATATGAATATGTATATGAACATATGCATATGCAAATATATACTTGAAAACAATATATTGAGAAGTTAGGGGAGCTAAGGTGGATGCTAGGTGAATAAAAAGCTAAACAATAGAATAAACACTGAAAAGAGCAACCCTATTTAATTCCCTGAGGAAAACCTATGAGTCAGACCTATTTTTAGTCTGACTTCCTAGGTAATGGAAAGTTACTTCACAGGGGGTTAGGGACATTTGTGATACCCTGTCATTCAGAGCCTGGGCTTATAACCAGATGCCAATTGAAGATAAGTTCAATTAACAATAAAATGAACAACAAAAATTAAACAATTCTCATGGGTGTGGTATTCGGGAGGATCTAACTCTGAACAAGATGAATAAACACAAGTCCTGTTCCTAACAGTGGAGAGTGGTAAGCCAAGAAAATGGGTCATACTGTGAGAAGCTGGTTAGATGAGGAACATTCTAGAGACCAGGATCCTAGCCAGATTTTTCCTGTAATACATCCAGAGAGAAGTGCTGAAGGCCCATACTAAGAAAATCAGAGTGAAGACACAAACCTGGAAATTGATTTGTAAAACAGTTTCATGTTGGGTCTTCATGATGATCAAGGTAAGGAGGGGTAGAAGCCGTCGCTTCAGTTCATTTGGGGGAAGTAAATAATTTCCTGGCCCAAGAGATATACAAAACAAAAACAAAAACCAAGCAGGGACAACACTGTTAGCCTCAGGGAATGCAGAAGTCTGTGTGTCACAGGCTGCAAATTCCATGGAAGAAAATAGGTAGGTCAGTGTGTGACATGCAGAATGCAAGACTTTGCAACCCCAGCAGCTGGAAGGTATGTGCAGCCAGGGGCATTCTGACTCAGGCTCGTTAAACACAAGGAACTGGGTAGCCAGAGCAGCGCTGTTGTGCTGTCTTCAAGGGTGACCTCTAGATGGGTGCAGACCATACTGCTTTTCAGAGGTCAGCTTGCAATTTTGCCGTCAACATATACAGAGTATATATGACAAGAATGGAGAGTGTTAGAGACTAAGGTAAGAAGTGTTGATGTTGAGGTGTAATGAGGCCAAGGTTCAGAGAAAGAGCTGTAAATGGTGGTCCTTGAACTCTGCAGAGAGTCGTTTGGGGAAGAAGAAGTGTCCGTATTGACATGGACAAATTGCTTTGGAAAGGATACTGTCTCCACTGTCCAATCAGATGATGTTTAATGCCCTTTGTAAACAGTCAGAGAAAACACCTTAGAAAAAGAAAGGATTGAGAAAAATTATATATACATTAATTAAATATTAAAATATACTATATATATGGCTTAGAAACAAAGAAAGGATTGGGGAAGTTTTATATATTTATTTAATGAAATATTAAAATATATTATATATAAATACCTTAGAAACAAAGGATTGGGAAAAATTGTATATGCATATATTTAATGAACTATTAAAATATGTATTATATATAAATGCCTTAGAAACAAAGAAGGGATTGAAAAATTATATATAATATGTACCATATATTTATGGTTCCCCCAATATGGTATATATTATATAACATGTTATATAATAGATAATATTTACACACACACTCACATATATATTCATATATATTTCATTTATATATAAGAATGAAGGTTTGGTAAATGAGAAGAACAGGGGAGGAAAAAGTGGTGGAAAGTCACACTTGCCAGTGTGACCGGGAAGACAGGGAACAAAATGGAACCACCATGTAGCCATGAGCTATGGACATTAGCGTTCGTTTTCCTTATGTTTTGCAGGGTGACGACTCAGATGAGGAAGATCTGTGCATCAGCAACAAATGGACTTTCCAGAGAACCAGCCGCAGGTGGTCCCGTGTGGATGACCTGCATACGCTGTTCACCGGGGCAGACAGAAACGGGTCCCCAGGAGGCCCTAGGATGAGAAACACAGCCAGCCGTGAGAGCGTGCTCACAGATCTGAGCGAGCCAGAGGTCTGCTCCATTCACAGCGAAAGCAGTGGGGGCAGCGACGGCCGCAGCCAATCGGGGCATCATTCTGCTGACAGCGCGCCTGCGCTGGAGGGCACCCTGCTCAACAGCAGCCTCCCTCAATCTCCCCGAGACAGTGTCAGCCAGTCTTTTCACCCCAAGAATGAGAAACCCACCAGGACCAGGGCCAAGTCCTTTCTGAAGCGCATGGATACCCTGCGAGTGAAGGGCGCACTCGGGAGGCATAAGGGGCCAGGGCGGACAGGTGGCCTGGTCATCAGTAGGCCTGTGCTGCAGCAGGAGCCGGAGTCCTTTAAGACCATGCAGTGTGTCCAGATACCCAACGGAGGTCTGCAGACCTCACCCTCAGCTGCCTGCAGGAAAGGCCTCCCATGCTCCAATAAGTCCAGTGGTGAGAACAGCCCTCTGGAAAGCAACAGCCACGTGAGCACTCCATGCATGAAGGAACGCAAGTGCCACCACGAGGCCAACAAGCGTGGCGGCATGTACCTGGAGGACCTGGATGTGCTGGCAGGGACAGCAATACCAGATACAGGGGACCATGTGCATGGGTTTCACTCCCAAGAGAACTTGGTGGTCCATATTCCCAAGGATCACAAACCAGGAACGTTCCCCAAGGCACTTTCTATAGAAAGCCTCTCCCCCACAGATAACAGCAATGGGGTTAACTGGAGGACCGGGAGTATCTCCCTGGGTAGGCAACAGGGCCCTGGCATGAGGGAACCCAGACTCATGTCTTCCTGCCACAGGGCCAGCCGCGTCAGTATCTATGACAATGTCCCCAGCTCACATCTGTATGCCAGCACAGGAGACCTGCTGGACCTGGAGAAAGATGGCCTCCTTCCACAGCTGGATGACATTCTGCAGCACGTCAGTGGCATACAAGAGGTAGTGGATGATTGGTCAAAAACCATCTTACCTGAACTGCAAAGTCACGACGCATTGACATTGGCAGGGGATCCTGGTCTGTCCCCGGTCCCGTCTCCTAATCAGGTCACTTTAGATTTTGAAGGCAACTCTGTCTCAGAAGGTCGGACAACACCTAGTGATGTGGAAAGGGACAGGACTTCTCTGAATGAGTCGGAGGCCACTGGGGTCAGAGAAAGAAGGGATTCTGGTGTGGGGGCCTCTCTGACCAGGCCAAACAGGTGGGTCACGAGCTGTTATGAAGTTAAGCTGCTTCTGTTTTATAGTGGCTGTAGGCTGAATTTTATTTATTTTGTTATTACTTTGTGCGCATATGGATGTTTGCCTGCATGTATGTGTCTGCAGTACCCTCAAAGGTCAGAAGAGTGTCTCAGATCCCCTAGAACTGGAGTCACAGATGGTGGTAAGCTGTTCTGTGGATGCTGAGAACCAAACCCTGGCCCTATGCAAGAGCAGCCAGTGCTTTTAGCTGCTGAGCCACCTCTCCAGCCCCAAGTCTTTGCTTACTTACTCCCTTAACAAAGACAGACACACTGCTTATACAATCACCTGGGGCTATGCTAAGTAATGCATATAGTTAGGAATTATTTCAACACAGTTTTTATAGACAAAGACTGAATCTGTCAGTCCACATTCATTTCTGTGTTTGTCCTTTTTTTTAAACTTAGTGTGTTGCAGACAAATCTAAGCGAGTAGGTGGGGGCACCACAGACAGCCGTGGCCCAGGCCCTGTGCACAAGTTTTATTTTTTATTCTATGAAATCTAAGGCATGTTTATGCCTTGTATCTGGTCTTTGCTTTTAAGTTACAGCTCCCTAGAAAATGAACCGAGGAGATCTAACTCACAGAGTCAGTAGCACTGTGTGTGCCACTAGGGTTCTTCTGAGACAGTGATGTATTATAGGATGTATCAGTGTGTCACCTGTGTCTGTCACCTTCAGACGCCATCTCAGCCACAAAGGACAGGGAGGAGGCAGGCACAGAAACTGGACAATACTGTAACACCTCAATGTTTCTCTCTCTCTCTCTCTCTCTCTCTCTCTCTCTCTCTCTCTCTCTCTCCCTCCCTCCCTCCCCCCTCCCTCCCTCCCTCCCTCCCTCCCTCCCCCCCCCTCTCTCTCTCTCTCTCTC